AATTGGAATTTTTCAATAGTGATTAGCTGTTAATTAGACTATTTTTCACATGAAACTATGCTAGATATCTAATCATCATCAGAGAATTGAAATAGAGCCATAGAAAAGTGTTACACAAGACTAGTAACAAATATTTATTTCAATTACACCAGTGCACTAGAGATACATTTGTAGTTTTCTCAACGGATTCATCCTTTTCATGATTAAAATTTTGTCAGTATAATGAGTAATACGATATACATCTGTACTATAAATTTCAGATCAAATGAAAAACAGCAATAATGTTTGGAATCAGTCAAGAAAAGAATGTTCTTCATTTTTGAACATGAGAATACGAACATTGATTGTTTTTGTCGTTATTGAAGGTAAGAAAGTAATACTTAAATACAAAACAAAAGTAGTAACTTAGCTTGTTCTACCATGATGAAACCAATGTACATGGAAAACAGGTCTTAAAATTAGACCGAAAATTTTTAAAACCAACTACTCGGTAGATTGTCCAAAAACTTTTTTGTATGATAGAATATCTTAGAAAATGAGCTAATAGTGAAGCTGTTATTATGATCGTAAAGGATAGTTCTTGTAGAAGAACTTAGCTGATAATGACCCACAGAAACTCTTTCCTCCCCCACACCCTGAGAATACCATCAGTACAGTCACCTGCTCATAAAAAATGTAGCCTTGTAAATAGCATATTTTAGCTGTAAAGTGGCAAAAATATTTGATGAATTAGTCGATGTGTTCAAAATATAGAAGAAAAGTTTGCTTTTTTCTTATTCAATGTAATGCTAGATACTCTATAGAAAGTTACAAAATGAAAATACCAAACTTATAGTTATTCGAGTGTTTCTCGTGCCCAGAATATAAGGGTAATAATTCGATTAAAATCAATTGAATAATGAGTAAAATCGAATAAAAACCTTTTGTTTTAAAAAGATTTTTTTATCATTCTGTAACCGAATGTAATAAAAAATAATCCTACAAAATCACAATTTCATTGATTATTCTGATTAGCTTCCATCAAAATTGATTAAAAACTTTTTCATTTATGATGAAGACAATTCGATTAAAATTCATGCATTTTTTGTGCAGTTTCTAACCGAGTCCAGTCGAACTTAATCAAAATAATCAACGAAATGTTGAGTTTCTTGGTTATTTCTGATTATAATCGGTTACAAAATGATTAAAAGTAGATAAGAAGCATATGATTTTAATCGATTTTAATCTAATTGTCACCCTAATCTTTTTACATGAATTACAAGTTTCGATTTTCATGATATTTTTTAGATTAATATACTCTCTTTCTATATGATTGACTAAATTATTAGAACAATTAAAATATGACTCTTACTCAAATAGGACGCTTTGGTTTATTGATTACGATACTTCTCTTATTTGTTTATGTTATTGTATTAAGCATAACTATCAAAAATAATAAAGAATATGTTTTGTCATGGACACATTTACTTAGATTTAATTCATATGAAAATAATCATACAGTTAATAATTTAATGATATCTTCTATGAATAGTGTAAATCTACCAAAAATACTTATTGTATTAGGTACACGTCCTGAAGGAATTAAATGTGCTCCTTTAATTGCTGAATTAAAATCAGATCGTTATCGTTCAAGATTTGAAGTTATTGTACTTAGTACTGGTCAACATCGACAAATATTACAACAAACATTAATTGCATTTCAACAAAAAATTGATATTAATTTAGATTTAATGATGTATAATCAAACATTAACAGAATTATTTAGTCGAGTATTTTCTAAAGTAAATGAACAAATAAATATTATTCATCCTAATCTATTAATAGTACAAGGTGATACAACAACAGCACTTGCTTCTTCTTTAGCTGCTGCATATAATCATATTCCTGTTGCACATGTTGAAGCAGGTCTTCGATCATTTAATTTATCAAATCCTTATCCAGAAGAACTTAATCGAAAAATAATTGATTCTTTTGCAAAATTGATGTTTGCTCCAACAACATTTGCTAAAGAAGTACTTGTTCAAGAAGGTGTTTGTGAAACAGATATTTTTATAACTGGAAATACTGGTGTTGATGCATTTTATGAATATCATAAACGAATAAATACAACAAAAGATGTATCTATATTGAGAATTATTAATAATTTTAAGAATAATTCTATAAATGAAAATAATTCTATTGTTATTCTTGTTACTATGCATCGACGAGAAAATTTTGAATATTTATTTGATATGTGTCGTGCTATTGCAACTATAGCAAAAGAACATGAAAAAAATCTTCTTATTATTTTACCTGTTCATCCAAATCCAAATGTAAAAAGTATAATATTAAAAAGTTTAGATGGATTAAAAAATGTAAAAGTTGTTGATCCAATATCTTATGATATATTTGGACATGTTTTATTTCAATCAGATATTATTATGACTGATTCAGGTGGAATTCAAGAAGAAGCAGTTAGTATTGGTAAAACTGTTATATTAATGAGAATGACTACTGAAAGACCTGAAGGAATATATCTTGGTACAATTAAACAAATTGGTATTCTTTATGATGAAATTGTACAAGCAGTTAATCTAGAATTGATTAATTTTAAATCAAAAAATCGAACATTAAAAACAAATATTTTTGGTGATGGAACAGCATCAAAGAAAATTGCATCTATTATAGATAATTATTTTTATGATCAACATAAATTAAATTTAAAATGTACAACAAAATTTCGTCAAGATTCTATTGCACAAGTTGTATATTCTTATTTAAATCTATCTCATACAAATATTCAATCACATAATATTAGACGAAATATAATAAATAATCTTACAAAAGTACGAGATGCTCTTACTCTCAATGAATTGTTCAATATTCCTAGTCAATATAATATATCAAAACAAAATGAAGAGAAATTTGCAGTTACTGCTATTATTGGAATGTATAAACGTGAAGGTTTAGTTCGAAGATGGATTGAAGCACTTCTTTTACAAACACATCCACCTAAACAAATATGGATTATTTACTTTGCTTCACCTATTGCACATAAACTTAAGCTTGAAATTGAAGAAATACGATCATTGTTTAATAATGGATCAAATTATTGTAATGATTTGTGTACAGAGAAAAAATGTAAAATGGACAATACTGTGAATAATAATATTCGATCTAGTTGTTTTGATAATTGTCTTATCTTTTGTATGAAATTACCTTCAATTCTATTCGTAGGAATGGGAGAAATGCAATTGAAATATTTTGGAAGATTTCAACTTGCTCTTCAATGTCAAACAAAATACGTTGTCGTTTTCGATGATGATTGTATACCACAAACACGATATTTTGAAACAGCATTGCATACAATTAATACAGAACAATATCGAGGTATTTTAGGAACTAAAGGTACTGCTGCTTCACCCAATATTTTCTATGGTCCTGTATCAAGAAGTAATAAAATAATTGAAGCAGATGTAGTTGGTGGAAGTTGGTTTATGGAAAATGAATGGGTAAAACTTATGTTTCATGATAAAATGCATTCATGGAATACTGGTGAAGATTTTCATTTATGTGCAAATGCACGTAAATATGCCAATATAAGAAGTTTTGTTATGCCAGTTGATAGAAATGATATTTCTACTCATTCTTTTCCAAAAGATTATCTAGCGATCAGTGATAGAGGTGATACTACTGGACGAGTGGCTGGAACTGCAACAAGTAGAACATATATTAAAGATCAATTATGGTTACGTGGTGATCGTTTAATGCATAGCTACCAAAAATCAAAACCATCATTACTAATATATGCAGAAACACATAATGATGCAATGATTTTAATAGGATATACACGACAAAAAATGACTCAAATTGGTGGTTCAATTCATTTTGTCACTTCAAATGTCATGAAAACTGATTTGGAAACTATTGAAATAAAAAAAGTGGTTGAATCTTTTCATGATTTTATGATTGGTCGTGATTATAATACAAATCCAACACCAATCACTGCTGCTGCCGAAGTACTTTATGCATTTGATATGGTTATGCAAGGTACACAAAGTACAGCTGTGATTGTCATAGGTTCTTCATCAACAGTAACTATGTTTGCATTGGTTTCGGCAGCATTCTTAAGAAATATTCCTATTCTAAATATTTATATAGAGAATAGTATTATCGATCAAAGAATAGCAAAAGTTATCTTGACAATGTCTTCAATCACTATTTGGACTTTCTCAAATCGAACGTTTGGTAGCTCAGAAAGCCAGCAATTAAATGATCTTTTAGTTCATCTTTATAAATAAAAATTAAAAGTTCACTATAAGTATCGAAAAAGTCAAGTAAAACACGAGATATGTGAGTGCGAGCGTGCAGGGGTTGATGTGGACATGGAGTGGGATGTGGGTTGACGTGCACGTTGAGTGTCGATGTGGGGTGTGGTTAGGTATGACTGTGGATGCGTGAGCGTGTAGTTCCTCTTGACTCACTTATACAGGCCCCAATACCCATATCTACACACACGTGTTATCTGTCATTTTCCCAAGTCAAGGTAGAATTCTTTTTTTGTTATAAATAAAACTAATGCACTTAAAGTGTCGCATGCTGCCAATTAAATCAAATAACCTATACTAATAGCACGTTGAATACTTCACTAGAAAATAAAAAATTCAATCTATCGCCACAAGTGATTTATCGAGATCGAGAACACATACATAAACAATGATGCACGATTTTTTTATTGCTTTTTCTAAACAAATTTGATTTGTAAATCTTCGTCCAATTATGGAAATTTATCAGCAACAGTATTGTTTTGGGGCGCCAAATCTTGTTTTACACTATCGATAGGTCCCAAACACACCTTCAATAATATAATACCGACTTTATTTGATATAAAACCTCATTGTTCAAATAAGTTAACTGTTATGTCAGATAAAAATGCATGATTCAAAAGAACTGAGAGAGAAACAGTATATTTTCAGTTTAGAGTTGACACTTGAAAAAGGCGTTTGTTTGCGTCAAAATTTATAGCATATGTTGGATCTTGGTTGAGTTCCGTATTTGACTGATATGGTCGAGTCACTCGGTTTTTTGTCATTTCATCTAGTGTAGAGCCAAAATCTATATAACGATTGAAAGGATTCTCGAGCCAAGCATGATGAATAAGAACTCTCGACAATGGACCGACTGAAAATGAAAATAGCCGATTTCTGTATCGTTTTGCTGTCGTTACAATTTTTTCGATTGCTTGTTCTCTGAACTCATTGTTTTCCCACATCAACGGCCCATTATGCGGATACAATAATATTTCACAAGCCCATTCATTGAGTTCAGCTAATTTTGCCGCACTAGTTTCATTGTTAATTATCAAAATAATCTTTTTTCGATGATCTCGAATCAGCGATCGATGAAGTAATTTTGTAGCAGGATAGTTGGTATTGACGAATAAATTTGTATATGTTAAATATTTTGGATGTTGGTAAATCATTGTGAGAAATTTATGGAAAGAAGAAATGCCCTTGGCATCGTAAATTCCATAGTAAAATGGGCTAAATGCATTATATTGATACTTAGGATAATGCAATGCTTTTATCAAGTCTTGTCCTAATCGTGATTGACCGCCATGCCATGACCATGGATCAATTGATTGAACAGAAATTCCAAACATAAGCATCATTTCTCCATCTCCTAATCGAATAAATGCTAGTCCGGTATTGTTTTTCATCGCAAAGGGATACGATGGATTGATTAAAGCTGCCATGGTATAAAAATGGCTTCGAAATGTTCCTATTGTCCATGAACATTTTGATAAGTCGATTTGGTTCTCGATGCACCAATTCAAAATAGCATCAGCACATGTCATATTGAAGTCTTTCACACTTAAATTTGTTTTTTGATTTACGTATTTTCCATTGTAAAAATGCATCGAATTAGGACATTGATAGTGGGATAAAATTATAAAATAGAACCCAATTACGATCGCTACCAACATTTTCCAATGGTAATGAATCGTTTGCACTTTTCTGCAAATATATGATGCTTTTGTTTCAATCATATTAAGTTGATTTGAATCTAGATTCATTTTAATGGACTCTTGTTATTGATTTTGATATGAGTCTTATCGAAGAGAAATTGTCAAATAATGGCTAAATCTAAAATAAACATGGTACGGTTTTGGTTTCAAATGGAGGCAGCTGAAAACTTAGAGTGATTCTTTTTATAGAAATTTCTGGGTTTTCTGGGACTTTCAAGCAGAATCAACATTAGTAAAATAGTTTTCCCATTCACGCCATCATTCGACTCAACGAGGTAATCAATTGAAAAGTCATCAAATCTCCCATTCACAAGACCTCCAAATCAAGTCGTTTTCTTTAATAACTCTTTGATAAAAGAATTAAATACTATTTTGATGAATTCCCCCCCCCCCCCCCCCCCCCCCCCCCCCCCCCCCCGGGGCGCCTCCCGCAACAGTCTGATCCCCTCCCCTATGCTCGGAGCGGGGGGGGGAAGAGAGTCATCCCGATGTTGTCTTTTTTTTTTTTGTTNGAGCTCGTCGAACTCTATAAAATTGTATATATTAAAAATTTTTTAAGCCATTTTTCTGAGATGAAAACTTCAAAACACTGCTTGGAAAATCTAAAAAAATGTTAAAAAACTCAGCTTTTTTTAACATAGGAGAAAAGCACTAGATTTTTCCATAAAATTAACTTTTTTCATTATTTTTACTATCACATAAACTTCAAAACATATTCATTAGACGCAGTTTTTCACGGTGCATTTGATGAGTATGTTTTGAAGTTTATGTGATAGTAAAAATAATGAAAAAAGTTAATTTTATGGAAAAATCTAGTGCTTTTCTCCTATGTTAAAAAAAGATGAGTTTTTTAACATTTTTTTAGATTTTCCAAGCAGTGTTTTGAAGTTTTCATCTCAGAAAAATGGCTTAAAAAATTTTTAATATATACAATTTTATAGAGTTCGACGAGCTCTATCGAACTATGTAAAAACATCGAAGAAAAAAATTTTACTCCAATTTTGAATTAAGAACGCTTTAACTTTCTATGCCAAAAATAGTATAAAATTTCTGAAAATCTCATAAGTTCGATATTAAAAAGTTTCGATAACTCTTATCATTTAGTACCAATAAATTTCGTTTTCGATGAGCTTTTATTTGGTATAAAATTCATTCTTTACCCTATTTGAAATTATGGTGGTATCCTCCTGGCAAAATATTATTTCCAACCTAGTAGCTGCAGGGTCGATATGAGTGTGCTTGTCGGTTTTTGGATTATCTCATATGAATATTCACATCAACAATCACATCAAAATATTAAAGGCTGCTGATTTAACGAATTTGAGTCATGAAGAAATAACATTTGGACGATTGTGTTCAATTCAGTAGAGCGTGGAAACATACATCAATACCTAAAGACTCTCTCTTTTAAGATTGAGAATAGGGTTTCAAGCTGCATAAGCAGCAAATTCAAACATTCCTTCCTGATCAGCTCTTTGCTAGAACTATCTCTACAAGATTTGATTTTTATTGGTTCTGGAGAAAACCGAGAAATTTTTCTTCAGCAAGAAAGAAACATGGTTTCAATTTTTGACTAGTATGAACACCAACAAAGTGGCCACCAATTTGTTTTCTGTAGAATAGTCCTTAGAAAACTGAGAGTAAAACAAGACAACATTGTAAATGTACAAAGAGACTTAAGAGGAATGGCATTATATCCAAAATCAAGTGATTTCGTGAGCTGATATTGCAGACCCAAACTTAAACTCAAACTTAATATTCAAAGCGTAAGCCATTGAAGCGAATCCGAACTGCTTAGAAGTTTTGGTTTCAGTTTGGGTTTTGTTCATGCCTAGGTTTACTTACACTTGCACTAATTGGATTGGCCCAAATAGTAGACTATCGAATGGCAAGCTACTGCACCGCAATCCATCACTACGATTATGATGGCGATTTTGCTGAACGACATCTGGTAGTCAATTACTGAAGCTGATAGGGAACACACATAATCATTTGTTGCTGTAGAAATGAATTCAACATCAATAGATAACGAGTCATGAAAGCTACTTCATGAATGCCTCATTGCTCTCGACAAACGATAGAAGCACCGTAACATTTCTGAAACTGCTGCAAAGTGGCCTGCACTGATCTATCCGCGCAAAAACTCATTCAAAGTTCTCATGGACTCGTTTGCCGAACCATAAGTCGCACACCAATCGGTGCAAAATGATGTTCGCTTTCGAATTATCACCGCATTATCTACTGACAAATGACTTAAAATGTGGAAAAATGACAAAAACTGCCAAATTTCCCTTCGAACAAGTCAGTCGGCCACTAAACCAAGTTTTAGCTCCTATACATTCATTTTTCGAGGAAAACGACGTGCTCATTTGATACCCTGCGTCATCCTGTATCGATTGATTTGCATAATTTTGCCCCGACAAACGAATGCATGAAAAGTGTAAGGTGACTTAGGGCTGGGCTCATATACTCAAGGGAATTTTCGCCTGTTGTAGCCATTTATCGGCATCATAGATCGTTTGCGGAGAGAGAATTATGTGTGCATTTGATAGCGGAGTTCGTTCTTCATGGATTGATGTGCGATGCTCCTGCCGGCAAATTGATTGATAGCAGTTGTAAACAATTGTATGTACAAGTTGGCATAACGATTTGAGATTTAGCATAAGTGTAGTTTGCTCTTGGCATGTCAGACTTGTTGGTTGAAGAGAAGCATTTAGTTTTCGGATAGAGAATCAAATGCTGCATGGAATGATGTATTATACATGCCTGAGCAATGCTAATGAAAGATCGATCTAGAAATATTTGCGAAAGTTGCGGTAACGGAAAATATTTTATTGGTAGTGTTATGTTAGATTTTTGGCATTTACAATAAAGTTTTGGGTTATGATCATGATTCAGTTCGAGAGATTTTGTGGTTAGATTTTTGTTCGCTGATTGATCCTCGTGATAACTTCACATCGATAAGTAGATTACTTGTTGGCCAGAAGCCGCATCCATGCGAACATTGTTGACAGTGTAAATTATCTCTAAGCGTCTTACAGCGACTTATATCTCAGTAAGTTACTGAAAGCAACTTTCATTAAATAAGCCGTTTAATAGAGCTTAGGAAATGGTTTGACAAGAGCAGCAAAAAGCTTATCATCAATATCACTTAAAAGTGCGGTGTCTCTTATTGTATTTAAAGCGCTTCGCAGGATTTCTAATAAAAAGCACTACCCAACCAGACAAAACTCTTGCGAAAACAAGTTAACATGCATCAAAGTTTTCTAGATTTACGTGTTTTTACCAGCTTTCAGCGCAAACTTTACGAGTTTTATAGCATTCAGCGGTGAAACTCACATTAACGGACAAAGATTAGTTAAGAAAGCATATTTCTATGCGCATTTTTCTGAAAGAGTTTTATTGTGTTGAACAAAAACTCTTCACTTCTCGTTTTCTCAAGCAATTCAACGCGTTTAATTGAATTCGTCTCTTGAGATGAGCTTAAGAATATTGCATATTAGCATTTAGTATTGGTGAAAAAGAAAAACTAGTCTAACAATAATACAACGAAAAAGTAATTACTCGTATGAAACACTTCGTAAATCAAAAATTTGTACTGACTGAATAGGAGCGACTGAAGCGTAACTATAGATTTTTTTCTCTGTTAAATGGGGGCTTTTATTTATCATGAAATGAATCCGCATATTCCTCATTTTCATTAAAAAAATTGTATGAAACAATGTTCCAATGATAAATGTCCGGAAAAAACGCTATTATTGCGTTTAAACGCATTAGTTTTTATTGCAACATGTTCAAATGCATCGGTTTTTATTTGCAACGTGTTTAATCGCATCGTTTTTTATCTGCAATGCATTTTTTTCAGTTTAAAAGTGACATAAAAATTCTGTTGAAGCACATTTATGAGAGACACGTCTATTATATGCAATAAACGCCCTTTGAATTGCTGTTCGAACGCGTTTTTACACGCTTGAACACATTTATGTTTCATGCATTGAAACCCGATTTTTAACGTTCTTTTACTGAAAAAATACTTTTTTTAACAAACGTGGCAAAATTAATTCTTTTCAAAAAAATAAGTTTTCTTAATGAAAAACGAGTTTTTCTTGCCGACAAATTAAAATATTCACAGTCTTATTAATGAGTTCAAAATACCATTCTATGAGGTGAAGTCTGCTACTGTTTAGACAAACATTTTGAAGTATCAGACTGAAAAACATACCGTTCAAAAAGACCTGTTATAGAGATGAATGTTATGAGTGCCATGTATTTATATATATTTTAACATTAAGAAAGAAAGAAATAGTTGCGCAAGAAAAAGAGCAAATGCAGATAAATTAGACCAAGCTTAATCTAACTGGAAAACATCCTTTTCTAAGCTTGAATAGCCATAGATAAATTTATGTTGAGATAACAACTCAGTTAAATTTTTTCTCTGCAACTATTCGACACACGGTGTCTTCTTTTTCGTTTTAACAAAATTTCTTATGATCCATAGTTAGAGTGTTATTTTTATGAAACACTTAGTTTATTCAAATAGGTTAGATTCGAAAAGAATAAAACAGTTCGAGATTTTTTATTTTCTTGACAGCATTCGATTCAATTTTTTCAATTATTGTTTTTTTTGTATAGTTGTTGAGAAGTGTTGGCTGCTCTGTTCTCTATAACGGCTCGGATATAATTTATCTGCTGAAAAGAAAAGGCTTTATTAATAGTTAAAAAAATGTAATAAAAACTGGTGGCTTTTCTGATCTACTAGACCCTTGCTTGATAGACTCTGAAACCATGGTCGAACGATTTCATGTGAGAAAATAAAAGAAAAGAATAATTATACAGTTTATAACACTTTTCAATATTTGATGCCATTGATAACATCACCTATTTGGTTTTACACAAAAAATACGTCATTATCTAAGTTTCTCATGATGTTAAAAAGTCTGGTCCAACTCGATGCGACCGGAAACATAAACATTTTGCGATAATCTAATCATGACAGTCTCTATTTCTCATAGAATATTGGCTTGTAGTCCAAGAAATATGGCATCGGTAACGTATCTGCAGAAGTCTTGAAAAATGAAATCCAAATCTGGAGTGTAGTTCTGGAGCTTATTTTTTTCGACTCAAACACTCCCCTGTCTTATTTGTTGTTGATACTGATCAGTTCATTTATCTAATATTTGTGACTGTTTAATTCTACAGTCTACGAAGATGCATCCTTAATACGAAGAGTAGCAGTTCTATTTCTATTTTCTTTTAACACTTCATTCATTGCGAAGCGACCATTGAGGTATATCGGATTTAAGTTCTGGCCACGAAAGTGTCCTCTTCAACTCCATTAAATGTTAGCAATAAGTCTAACATAATTACTATCAAAGAGCTATAAATATGTACGAACACATCTCGCCAACACCTATCTTATGATGCTAGTTTCCTTATACAAGAAGAGAAGCGGTGACTTGAGGGTGTGGGTGTGTTCGTTTTCTCATCGTGCATCTCTTCACCAACACCCACTCCCACACCCACATCCACCCCGATTCGATCCAATTCTTTTTGAAGGTGATATTGCCAATGAATCAGAATGATCTTTTGATGTTTCAAGTCGTCTTTCTTTTAAAAGTACGAAGATAATGCACGATCAATTCCATGATATTTTAGTAGATTCCAATATCTACCACCCCATTTCGTTAGCGACAGTTTCAAGATAATACTTGTTTTATTGAGTGCGTTACAAGAAATGATGGTAGGAGAGTATAAACAGATCATTATCCTCAGCTTTCTGAATCTTTTCAGATTTTATATAAAAACTTTCAAACTTTCAGATTTAGAAAAAAAGATTTTTCTCGTGTATCCAGGGTATGATGGATAAAAATCCATTAGTTGTTTATCAATCTTTCTCTTGCGTTCTATCATCTACTTAGCTTGATTCGCAGTGTTCATTAATCGTTAGTCAATCAGTCACTGTTGACTCATCCTTCTCCTACTCTCTCATTTCCTCCCTGTACTGCTCCCCTGTTATGACTATTTTAAAGAATAAACGGTGAACTCCTTCAAATCCGATTTGTGGAAGAAGAACATCTTTTTTTTTAGAGTGTACCTCAATAAAACCTTAATATCATAGTCAATCATTCTGATTTTATTTGATACTAAAATCATGGTTATTCTTGAATAAAATTATTCGAAATAATGTCTGTCCATAAGCATTCGAGATATACAAACTCTGCTTGTGTTATTATTAAATCCATATTAGAATATTACATGTAAGTTTTGGATCTCTAACAATGGTGCATGCTGGTGGTAAATGATCTTTTAACCATTGTATATAGTCATCATTGCTGTTTTTATTATAATCGGAATATTCAGCATCATTGTCTTTGTTTGATGTTGACTGTTCAATATACTTTTCATCTTTACATCGAACATTTAATGCTCGAATTTTGAGCATATTCTCGACGAGAGAAATAATACTTTGACGATTATGAATCAGAATAGAAAGCTTTTCACATTGAACACCTAATGGTGAATGACTCAATGTAATACATTCTTCTTCATTGAAATAATGATTAATGTTTCGTAAGTCGAGTTCACGAATGGATACATTTCTATATTTGAATAATGATGTTTGCAAAGGTGTTGATTCGTGTTGACTTATGCTTAGTCTGATAAGATGAGGTGCTCGATCAAGTAATGCTTGTACTTGAGATTGAAAACTATTATTATGAAATAATATTTTAAGTGACTCCAATCGATTGAAATTTGAAACAATTGACCATAATTGATCATTTATAGGAAGATTTATATAGAGACAATTAATTTTAGACAAACGAATATAAGACGGAATCGGTTGATCAAAAAATGTCGGAGAGATTATTTTACTTATGCTATTATAAAAATCTTGATGATCATCTTCAGGACATGTTGATTTATACGAGATAGGTAGGTTTTCTTCGTAGCAATTAGACAACGTGTATAGATAAATCGTTCTATTCCATGTAAGACAACGAACAAACCATTGATGCTCATCGATCCAGAACGACGTTTGAAATGAATTAATTAAATCATCGACTCGTTGCTGTAAGTTTTGTCTCAAAGGCAATGTAACTTTCATTTTCAATTGAAATATTTGAAGATTAGGCAGGTGATTACGAATGATTTCCTCCCATTGGTTACCATCAACGATTTCAGACGATAGGTCGACATTCAAACGATGTAAATTAGGTGTATTTTGCAAGAAAATACCCATATTCGAAGCATTACACGTAAAAGAAGAACTTATATTCAAATCAATCAAGGTTAGAAGAGGAGAGGGAATATAATTATTATCGACAAAAGACAACACAGATATCGAAAGGCATTTAAGAGCAGGTGTATATTCCAATAATCGATCTATTTGATCCAATTTAACTTGGACTCTTTCTATAGACACATATTCGAGAGATAAGGAGGTTTTTGTAGGTGTAGGAAATACGCATAGTCCTGTAAATCCAATACCAATCGTACAATGGCTAAGTTTTGAAAGACTCCAAATTTGGTTAACCATTAATTGAAAATCAACTTGACAATCTTGATAACAATTAAAGAGACCTAAATGAGTAAGATTACAAAGATGATGACATTCTTCAACGATTTTCATCAGTATTGAATATGAACGAAGATTAAATAATGAAAGAGATCGTAATTGAGTAAATTGTTCGAATGATGGACTATAAGAAAGAAATAGTTTAATTTGTGTTGGAGTTTCTTCATCGTCAGTAAGATCAAGAGTAATCATATAAGCTGCCATTGTTGGTAGATATTGTTGACATATCGTATCGAAATCACGTTTTGACACAGAATTAAATTTGAAAGAACAATTTAAAAATCGATCATGAAGAAGGAAATTTAATCGGAAGTTGAGACCATAAAATGTACGAAGAAGTTCAACACCATTGAAATAATTAAATATATCCAATAAGATTTCATTGGGTAACAATTCTAAACTCATTGTATCTTCTTACAGTTTTCTAAGATATTTAATAAAGCATAAAGTGCTGTATTGTATAAAATAAATAAAAAAAATTCACTTTTCTACTATTAAAATCACAGTCAGTATTATTGTTCTTTGCTTCCTACCATTTGATACATGAGTCAACTATATAAATAATGAGAGTGGTCGGAAAGAAAGAAACATGCGTCGTGAATAAAATGAACAAGCTTTTTCATAAATAATTACGTAGGAGGCGTTTCATTTATGTTGATGATTCAACCAATGAACCTGGATAAAATCATATTAACTAACACGTTTTAATTATGTACCATATCCTGATGACAAATTTGCAGTCTAAAGATGTCGCCACATCAACATCCCGTTTTATTTCATATTGAGTAAAAAAGAAAGAGCTGATTGTTAAACAATATTGAATCTCATAGACATTAATTAATTCATTTTCCTCAATATCGATTCATAGACGATGGATTTCGTCGGTTTCAATACTGTCGAATCAGTGGCGGATCTACCTGTTCGGCGAACCGGCGACCGCCACCCCCTTGCGAATTTTTTTTCTATTTTTCCTCAACAGAAATAAGAAAAAAGTAGTGGTAAGACATCAAAAAGGGTTCCAAAACCATTATTTGATCATGACCGCCGTTCCCTTGGGCAAATCGCCATCCTCTCACTGGTTTTCTGGATCCGCCCCTGTGTCGAATAAATTCACGATTGAAAACCGATATGCATCTGGATATCAGCAATTGTGTAAATAAAGCATCTTATTTTGGATAATTAGTTTATTACTAAGTCGATTGGTTACCATTCTCTTGTCCCCAAAAAATGAATGAATGTAACTTAGTTGATTATTCGTTGAATATTCAACTAGATGTAGAAAAGATGCTTCCTATAGATTTATATATCTGATCAATTACTCTAATTATTAAATTTTGATTTTCTACGTAAAAATTCTTGATTGGACAAAATTAAATCGAAAATTCAAATCGTTAACGATAATGATAACGATATTGATGAGAGAAACAAAGCAAAACAATAAAGGGATTTTGAGTAAAATATTGGACGAATGTAAATAACTATCGCATTCTTTAAAATAGAAAACAAGAAAAATATTACAATAATCAATATGTATAAAAGTATAGTTGGCGAAGTTCGACGTCTTTCTTTATCATAGTATATGACATTTTACAGATGATTGGACCGGGTGTGAGTGTACAGGGACTTTATGATTATTCGCAAACAGCCACACTCTCACAGACTGGTCTACTATAATTCACACCCAAATTGATGAAATTAAATTGAAATTGAACAATTATTTTTATGTGAAAAATCAATGTACAACAGTTGTTCAAACAACTGAAGATCTTTATCAAGATTATGCATCATCGAAACCTACTAATGAAATAAACAAACTTGATAAACTATAGAATAGTAAAGAAAATTGCTTTTTCAAATTGATTAATGATTTAACAAATTCATACCGTAATGTTGCTTTGTCTGCTCGATGTGTCTCATCGATGTTTAGTAATTGGGTTAATTGTCTTCTCTGCTGTCATATTCTTCGATAAAAACTAAGTGATTGCGAATCGTAAAAAGTGAGTTTTGAGAAAGTTTTCTCAATTGTCTAAGCTTTTGAGCATTTTATTATTATATTCATTTGTAAGTATTATTGAGATCAAGATATTTATCCAAAATATTAGAACTTCTTGAAATATTGATAAAGTTTTATCATATTAATTTTTTTTAGAATAATTAACGACAGAATTTCTTCTAGGAGACATTAATATTATTAGATGTATGTGACAGCGAACAATATGAAACAAATGCGTAGATTTTTCGTTATGAGAAACGGTTGGTTCTTGTATTATGTGCCACGAGAACGAATCTCGTCTACAGAATTACGGCTTTATTGTTGTGAGCCATTTTTAATTAAATGAGAAATTTGACATGAGAAAATTATTGTTTAACACATGAGTCAACATCGAATTCTGTTTGCTGAGATACAGAATTCTTTTTTTCTTCTTCTAGATATCATTCATTTGATCAAAGTCGATGAATATTGTATCAATATATTAGAAGAACGTTTGGGAAAAAATGGGTTATGCTTGTCTGTTTCATCTAAATCTCGTCTTTCTTTTCATTATGCGAGCTGACTGGCTAAACAGGTGGACGACAATGACAGAGAAAAGAAATATTCATGATAAGAAAACATTCGATTAGAGGAAATCTAGATAAGAAAAGAAAAGAACGTTGATGAGTAAATCAAGAAAAAAATTGACTTTAGCATAGCCAATTATATCAGGTATAAAATCATATTTATTGTAATTGCTGATTAAATATTTAATGAAGAATAATACGAACAATGCTATCATATATTGCACAAGACCAATGTTTGAGTTTTAGTGGTTAGAATGATCGGTGAAGATGAATAATCTTCAGCCAAGATTTTTCTTATAATTATTTATTTAAAAAATATATTAAATGTAAAAAATCATGTATTAGTCATGAAGATTTTAATGTTGTAATATTTTATAAGACATCATTTTTGAACATGAAATTGCAGATAATTAGTTTCATTAATCATCGTTTTCTAATTCAAGAAAATAATTATATCAACAATGATCAAAATCAATAATAGACATGGTTTTATTTTTTCAACCAAATAAAAAATTGTGAACATTCATATTGTTAAGATATAAAACAAGTGATAAAATATGTTTTGACCAATTCATTTCAAAATTTGATTTCAGTTAAAAATTGAGTTTCTAGTGTATCTGTTAATAATAGTTCAAGTTGATCTAATGCAAGTACACATGTAAGAGTAGTATTTAGATCAATAGGCGGTCTTCAGTATAGTAAAAAAAAAACTTGAACTTTTATCAGCGGTTTTTTTCTTTATTTCAAATAAATCGATTTTGTAAACTAACGTTTGCTTTTAGCGAGTAAGTCAGTAAATTGTTTGAGTGTATTAAGAAAATGGAGATCATCATTGAGCTACAATGATATCGAACGAAATTTAGCTAATTTTCGAGAATTTAATTTATCATCAACTATCAATAATCAATATTTATGGAAATTAAAATGAAATCTATTGAGTCTAGTTTTCTTTGATGTTTCATATCTTTCCAAGTATATATATGTATAGAATAATATCCATTAATAAATGTTAACAAAACACGTGAAGCTATTCCATACTGAACCGATTGCTGGATTACATCAAAGTTCCTTTTGATAATCGGTATAGAATGTGGATATAGATAAGACAAATCATACATATCATACACTCACGCGCACACCCGTTCTTCTCTCTTGTATATCTTTGTACAAGGCTTTTATTAATTTCTTATTCTTGGACGATCGCAAAGAATAATTTTTGCTCTAGCCTTTGTATCATTAACATCATTTCTGCTATAGTTTGATAAGCAGTGTCGCATCAACGAGGAACGAAAGAGAATAAGAATAACAAAACAAAGTAATGATACGTGATAATTTGTCGATTTATGACAGGAAAAAAGGAAAGAGCAAGACGTCTTTTGTTTCTTTCAGTGAAATGTAAACTTTGATTTTTCTTGCTTATTTAATCTATAGAAGTTAATAAAGTTCACTAAATTTACTTAGATTTGTGAATTAAAATTGAAAATATCTGACAACATCAAACTGATGTTCTGTACTACATAATGCTTTTGTATTATGTTGAATCGACTATAAATTTCGAAAACCAATAGTTTGAATGATACAAATAGGTTGTTTTAGTAACGTGGGAATGGTAAAACTGTATAGGCAAAACACACAGAGCTTCTTAAATCATTTTCAATGGTTTCGCTTTCTTTGAAGTTGTTTTGGAACGTTTTGTAAAGACGATTCTTTAGAAGATGTACAATCAATTATGAATAATAGAAACTTGTTTATGAAAAAGAAAGTTACATTGTACAGCTACCGAACTAAAAATATCCTAGATCACGATTATGCATGGGCATGAGCAAGACAAGTTTTTTTTTCTGTTACTCCAAGAAATTCGTCATGCATGCATATATGAAATATACGAGTGCCTACATTATTTTCTCTCTATAGCTTATTTGCATCACGAAAAAAACAATATATATATCATCGTGAATTACTGCTCAAAAATTATTTTTAAGCATTATTTCGTTGCTTTTGGTAATCATATTATATCTATTAATATAAGCAGTTTCATTGTAAATTTATTACTGGGCAATCATATGGTTTATCTCATAATATCGATCATTTTGATACTAATTTGGTATGTTGTTCACAAGAAATATAGAAAAAAAGTTCAATGTGCTTCAAATATTTCTGAGTACGATCATGCTACAATTATCGGAGGCAATTTTGGAAGAATGATCACTGGTGCTTATTTATCAAAACATTTCAAACGAGTAACAATCATTGAATCAGATGATGTACTAAGAAATATTAGATTATCCTTGTCATCTGGAAAGTTCAACATCAATAAGACGAGGACGGTTAACCCTACTTTAGTCGAACAGAGAAATATCGAAAATAAAAAACTCGAAAACCAAAATGAGGGGTGAAGGTGAGGATGTAAGAGTGAGGGTGAGAAAGATTTCTCCTTTTATAAACTTTCATTTTCAACACTTCCATCTTTCGACTTTTGNACGTCTTTTGGATAGGATGATTTTCGACTACTCGAAATCCGATGGTTTCCGATGTACTCGAAATCGAAACAGAACGGACAAAAAATATATATATGACATTTTCGAGGGCTCATCGTGGTCATCGCATGATTTTTTTTGTCTGCTTGGGTTACCACACAATCTCATGTAACTTCGTGTAAATATCAAAATAAAATTTAATTCATAGAAGACTACAAACATTACAATTGAAAAACTTTGAGTATATGAATGAATACATATGTGAGATTTTATTAAACGCTCACATTCACACTCATTTTTGTATGGTTAAAGGTATTAGCGTCAAAGACAACAACGCTATACATAAATTCATGCGTCTTTTACTGACAATCCAGTGACTGATTCATTTTCTATCGGTAACTTTAGAACATTCAAATATCGAGATTAAATCAATAGTGGTATGGGATTAATATTATTAAAAAAAAGGAGATTATGCTTGCCTATTTATTTTCTTTCATTGATTTATAAGCACACCACTTTATTTTATATAAAACCATCGTGACATGTAGGATTATTATTTATCAAACCACAGCAAACCAATGTCGTACGTTTTCTTATTTTTTCTTATACTTGTTTTCCTAATTGCTAATGGAAGAAGTGTGAATTGTCCCAATCGACAGTGGATAGAGCATTCTCTGAATGATTCTTATATTCCTGGTGCGACTATCGTCGTCGTCAATGGTACTCACACACTTTATGAACAGGCTTTCGGCTATCATTCTTTTTCACCACCACAGTTTATGGATGTGGATAAGTCAATTTTTGGTGTGGCTTCAATTTCTAAAACACTCATCGCTGTTGCTGTTATGCAACTTGTTGAGAAGGAGTTGGTTGATCTTGACACAGACATCAATCGATATTTATCGGAGCCTCATCATCGTATTTTTCATCCAAACTATTCATCTCATTCGATTACTTTACGAAGATTACTCTCTCACTCGTCGTCGATTGCTGTCGATGAAGGCATACAACTCAGCTTGTATCGACCGGGTGACGCTGCTTTCGAACAGTCGACATTAGCTGAGACATTGTTTACTAATGTAAATCCTAACACATCGAATTGGTTGCCAAAGCCACCGGGTACTGTGGCATTTTATTCGAATGATGGTTCCTCTTTAGCTGGATTGGTTGTTGAACGAGTAGCAAATATGCCCTTCGATCGATATGTCAAAGAAAAAATTATGAAACCACTCAGTATTGATATTAACAAAGTAGGTGTTCGCTTAGCTGATTTTTCAAATAGAGAAGACCTCGTTAAGCATTATGCTTATGCATTTAATGCGTCTAACCTCAACGAATGGACACAAGGAATGCCACAATTGAATGTGACACAACTTTCGGTAAACACATAAATAATACTTTTAGAATGTATTCGTATATTTTTTTTAATAGGACAATTTCCCCACTTGGCTATATATTCCATTCTTCGGTTTCAGTACCTATCCTGCTGGTCTCTTTCGCATGTCAGCTGGTTCTCTATCTAAATTTCTTCAAATGTTTATGAATAATGGATCTGTTCTTCTCAATCCTAGATCCGTTGCTGAAATGAAAATGATAGTAGGCGGTGGTCTCATTCCATATTATGATCCGAATGGAATAGCCAGTTCCTCAGTTATACCACTACCCAGCTTTGGACTCAGTTGGAACTGGCAGACATTGAGTGATGGACGGCGATACATTGGTCATAGTGGTTCCCTTCCTGGTTCAAGACATTGGATGTTAGTTAATGCAAACAACACTGTTGGTGTTATCGTTCTTACAAATGGAGACTCTAATGTGCCAAGTGGCCGATCGGAACAATATTATAAGCTATTGGAAAAGATTCATCTAGCACTCTTCCAATGTTTCGAAACTGAGATAGCCAAGTCGTCTGCATATCATAAAAATGTAACATTCTTTGAACTTTTGATGGTCATGTTTTTTCCTTTTATTTATTTATTTTTCATGAAGTGATCATTTATTCTTAAACAAAAATGAGTTTTGCCAATAAAGTTAATGTAACAAATGTCAGCAATACTAAATTTTTAACTCTCAATTTTCATTCGAAGTCGAAATTCGAGATTCATAGCAGTTTACTGTTGTATTGCAAGCACATTTGTCGAAAATTGAACTGTTTTTTCAATCAGGTGATAAATGATTTTTATGAAAGGACACCGCTTTCTCTGCAATCAAAGAGTGTACACAGTAAAGAATACCTGCCTTTTCTTCAGACAACTGTGTCATAGTACCTATCAAGAGTGTTTGAGAATAGATCGATAGAGAGAAAGAGAAATTCTTAAAGAGAAGAGGACTACGCAGAATCTACGTATGTCTTTGCATTTCATGAGAAGAATAAGGGTGTGAGAGTGTTGATCAGTGAAAGTCTCACGTCCACGTACCCTCTTGTGTATACGCACTATTGCGATATCCATCCATTGGTTCGACAAGCAAAAATTCATTCTAACGACCATGGATATACTTAAAAAACAATGATACGGACGTGAAAAACAAAGTTATGATTCAATCAAACGAAATGATAAATCGATTGCGAAGAGCTGATCCAGACGTTGTTAGATCAGATATCGTTGACATTTGGTTATGGCATGGATTCGAATACAATCCTGCCATTTTGCAGACTAATCATATCTTTTCTTGTAATGAACTGACATATGCGATGCTACAATGTCACTATTCGAATCTTAAATCAAGTAGCAAAGCACACTGAATGAAATAGATATATTATTCGGCTGCAGTACGATTTCCAGCCAGAGTTTCAGCTTTCATCGATTATGTGTTATTGATTGCGAAAGTTATTACATTCTTTCTGAAATGTGTAATAAATCCAAAAATCTGATTCAATTTTGAATATATTATCCGTCATCGCACAATGATTCTTTGAGAAGACCAAATTGATCATGACAGATAAAACTAACCTTTTGATATGTGCATTTCATATTATCACATTGTTGCTTTTCATCGCTTAGATCCGACCAATCATATTAATCATCGAAAAAATACTCATCTGGCATATACAAAACATATACAGCTGAATACCATCGTAAATCTTGAATCAATCAAGATACAACAGATCAAAAGTGTATCTTAGGGTTATACATCAGACAATATCTCCATAAGCTTGCATCTGTTATGGATTTATCTTTTTTCATTTCAATTTCCTACAGTTTCTGTGAAACTTGGACTCCTTGAAAACAAATCTTTCTAATGTTTTCTGAATGATCGAAGATATTGATATTCACACAAATCGTTTCCCTCATGTTTGATGCAAGATAATACTCATCAGAATATTATTACATGCCACGGAAGCAAATGAGTTAATCATCAGAAATAATGATAATCACTTCAGATCTTATTATCCTCTGAATAGGGAGAAAAAAGAATAATCTTCCTGATGCTCCTGGCAATGGGCTCATTAATGTACAAGTGATTCAGAAGAAACGATTCAAACCAATAGGTGCGGATTCTTTTCAACGTTACAGCACTCGTAAGTGAAAGCTTTCTTTGAATAAATATTGCTCATACAATGAAATGAAGCACAAGAACTAAAATTTGAGAATCTTCAACTTTGAATTAAGAAACATCCGAATTCGGAACAAACACAAATCACTCTATGACATATAAAATGAAGAAAACACGAATAATGACGTGCAAATAGCGATCATCACACATACAGTAAATCGCAAACCGGCTGATTATGAATGTAAGAAATGAAAAATAATGGGCTTTTGCTAAGAATTTACATATATAGGTCTAAATATTGTATATAAAAAAGAAATATTTGAGAAAAACAATGATCGATTGATAATGTAAAATTTCTATAGCCGAATAAGCTTTCGTTTTGTGAAATAATATGCTGATGATGACGATAACTACTATTATTGGGCTTCTAATACTTTACATTCTTTGCCGTCAACTACATAAAAAAAATATGCCTTTCTTTATGAGAACTAAAGCAAATATGATATATAACGAATTAAAGAAAGAGTGGGTTCGATTCTTTTTTTCTCTTTCTGTCAAATACCACGGTTTAAGTATACGAAAACAGCGCAATGTCGAACGAGACAGGTATCAAGTATCAAACACAGATTTTTTTGTTTTTATATAAAATTTCTCAAAGACATTTTCTTCTAGCTAAATTTAATTCTAAACTTAAGAAAAAACATTTAAAGTTTCAAGAAATGGTTTGAATAACTATAAAGGAGGTTTCATGTTATTGCCGACTAAAAAAAAAACATTTCTTTTGAATACAGGTTTTTCGCAAAAATTTGATAGCCTTGACTTCGAGCATTGCTGTTCAACAAACACATTTCAAATCTGTTACCTCACATTATTCATAACACTATCTTCAAGTTTTCACAAGAAATATAAATTTTGAAATATATCGTCTATAGTTCAGAATCAACAACAACATGATCAGCAAGACTCTTGCATAGTTGTTGATGGTATAAATTGGTTCTATTATTGGGATATAGAAACTCTTCGCTTTGGCCTTAACTATCAAGCACGATCAGATGATTTGTTCATTGTAACGTATCCAAAAAGTGGAACAACATGGATGAAAACAATTGTTTATACTCTATTGACAAATGGACAACCTTTTGACCTTGATAATAAAGATTTTTTTGAACGGTTTCCCTATCTTGAATTAGATGATGAACAAGCCATTATCACCATGCGACGACCGGGTGCTTTGAGATCACATTTACCAATGAATCGTATCCCGTACAATTCGCAAGCAAAATATATATGTGTAATTCGAAATCCAAAAGATGTTTGTGTATCCTACTATGCATTCTACAATACATGGGGTGGTGTACATCGTTTGAATTTCAATGAATTCTTTGAACGTTTCATTCAAGGTCGTCTACCATTCAATGACTATTTTGAATGTCTTCAATTAACTTGGGAACGACGTAATGATGCAAATGTTCTTCTTGTTTCTTACGAAGAGATGAAAAGTGACATACAAACTGTTATACAAAAAGTGAGTAAGCTCAAAAAAGTGAATATGAGCTGTTAATCACGAAGTCTCTAGAATACAATTGAAGATTTTTTATTTTTGTTACTTGTAAACCGATTGAGATAATTTCTTAGATATTTCTAGATTTTTTTTCTAACAGAAACTAAAGTTAGATGTTTGTTTTTTATGAACTAATGGAAATGGTTCTTCAGTTGAAAGTGACATTGAACATCTTCAAGTCACACTCAACGTCATCTTCATGTTATTTCGAATTTATAAGTTGTATCAATTATGATTTTATTGATTTTTATAGAGCAAAAATTTTCAAATAACATCAAGAAACGATTCAAAATCTCAAGAAATTCCTCATCTGTATCTTTTTCTCCTCTCTACATTTATAATTGTTTTTAAAAGTATTCATCAATTTGATCTTCAATAGAAGAGCATATACAAATGAACAAGGTACAAATCAAGAGCTATTTTTTGAACATAAAATTTGGTAGTCAAGGAATGAATACCCGAGAATGAGAAACATATACTTGCGTCATTGGAGAAACAATTTCTTTCAAATATGCAAGTTTAAAAGTGATCTATATTATTCATGCTGATGTTGTTAAAATCCGAAACGGATACTTATTTTCTACATCAAATTCTTATGTAGAGCCAACACTAAATCAAAAGTAATAAAAAAGCTTCAAGTATATAGTTAGAATGTTCTTTAAATCACAATATGAAATTGTGTAATCATTTCATTCTTCACAAATGGAAGTTTTTCGGCGATAGAAATCTTATTTTTAAATCTGTCAGTATTTAGCTGATTCTATAGAGAATTTCTTAGAGATAAAGTTCATTTACAAAATTCTATTTTCTCTCAACTTTTAATTCAGTTTGTCACACAGCTAGATAAATGTTTGACATGAATTGATAAAAATTGTACTCTATACTATTCACCTTCAATTTAGAATTTTCGCTACAATTGTTTTGGAGAAAAGCGCTTTAAACTAAGATCGAACACTTTGATTACTCAGTAGATTTAATTTCGAGAAGAATCGATTACTGTAATCATACTAGTTCCATCAAACTTTCACTTTCATACTATTGAATGCAGCACTATTACCTCCATGTCGTCAAATTTGGCAATATGATGTCATTTTCGTAAGACAAACCATGAGGGTTTTTAATAGATCGCTTCATTAGTGCATTTTATAGATTTTTTCGATCGTCGTTTGACGTATTGAAAAAGGTGCAGACGTATACTGATAAATTTTCAAACATATTCTAGGTGGCTACTTTTATCAACATTCATTTGACCGAAGAACTTCTTCATAAAGTTATTCTTTACTCATCATTCGACTATATGAAAAATAAATACGATGACGTACGACGAAAATTCGAAACTACATACATCGAAGAAATCAAAGATGAAAGTGTTCGTACTCGGATGTTGAAGCAATTTGATGGTGAACCGAATATGGAATTAGTACGCAAAGGACATATCAACGATTGGAAGACGTTTATGTCTATAGAACAAAGTGAACAAATCAATAACAAATTTATTGAAACGTGTCAAAAATGTGATGGACTCAAAAGTTATTGGTCGAAATGGAATATTTTTTGACGTTTTTATCAATATTCATAGATTTAATTTGGCAGTCATTAGTGGAATATAGTACTTAATCAAGCAGAATACGGAAGGTTTTCTATTGATATGTCAATGTAATAAAAGGAAACAAAACATTGATATTGAAAATAAAAATGACGTATGAAGATGAAGTTCTCGTCATCTTCACCCATACGCTCTTTCCGTTTCAAAATCACAGTCCAATCATGCTACTTTTTCATGTTCTCTCTCCATAATTGGACGAACTATTTGAAAATGGTAGTTCTTTCTTCGTTCATCTTTATCCATCCACCATCAAATAATATAACATTGACTACTGCCTTTAAATCATAGAAAATATTTAAAGATACATAGGAAAACAATTTTGCTTCAACAAAAGAAATTTTAACAGTACATGTGTTCTATTGGTTGAGAACCAGTTAAGGATGAGTAGATGTCCATGAAGACGAAACCTTTTAGAGAAAGTGAACAGAAATATGAGATCATGAGCTTTTTTTTCTGTTATTGATAATTATCAATTTAGCATTTTTGTGTAATGATTCATCTTATCTAATGCTCATTGTCTCTATTCGTTCAGTCGTTTATGTTTAACGTTCACAAGAATTACATATTTCAACTTATAATAATTGTTGATTTGAACAACAATTGAAAATATGATCCTTACTTATTTTATAATGATGAGACAATGACTCTTATCTTATGCTCGCTAACTTTTATTAATATTTTAGAACCTAACCCTGAGATTGGACAAGTGTAAGTAAAAATAAGCCTCACACTTGTTTATTCACTCTCAACTCTTGCACAAAAATGATTGATATTTATTGATTTCTTTGAAAACAAAGATTCTTTTGAATATATCCAGATGAGCAAACGATTTTTGAATAATGTCTATATAGTTATATGGTCTTTTACGGCGCCATCCTTAAGTAATATGTTACAAATCGTAAATTTATGTAAAATTTTTTCATTTCTTTAGGCATGATTAGGTTGAGCAAATAAAACTAGGAAACAAAAAAATTCACTTTAAAATGGTACAAAAAAAAACAGAATGTTTGAAGTTCTGTAGGGTATAAAAAGTTGAGAATAAGAAGAAATCAAGCACTCAATTTGAACATATTAGTCATTAGATAAACGAAAGTAATGGCTCAATGCCTTATAACAGACTTGCATCAACGTGGTTGGTTTCATCAATACAAACGGACTGCAATATTGATTGACAACACGTAAAAAGTCTGTAGACAATTGTCCTGATTTAGCTGCACAGCGAAGAAACCAATGATTGTACCATAGTAAAAATTTGATCATCAAAGGCATTCGTGGTTCAGGATGCTTAGTTGTATCAGAATCACTACCTCGTTGATAAGTTCGAATTTCACCATTTTTATCAGTTTTAATGTTGATGTTTTCCAATCATTTGTTGTCAAAGAAAGCCAACAATTCTTCAGTAATGACTGAAGCACGTCGATTGAAAATATAAGAGATATCTTCTAATTTATGATAATGTTCGTCAAATATTTTTCCCAATTCTCTTGCATGCCGTAATGCATGTGTCATGCCTTGTGCATATTGAGGATTAAAAGCACACACTCCATCACCTAATAAAATATAATTGTGAGGCCATTTTTTGCCTAATAATTCGACATATTTTCGATCATTGATCGCCCGCCGATATGGGACTAATGGACTACATACTTTCGTTGATTTTAATATCGAATTACATTCGCTATCTAGATGCTCTTTTGCCCATTCTAATAAATTTTCATACGAATCATTTGGTGGATATTCTGCATTGACACAATGAACTGCAATCGTCGATAAGTTTCTTAAAGAATTTTCATCATTTGTTTTTATTGTACGCATTGGAGTTATATAGCATCCTGTATTATTATCTGGTAAATTAGTGTTGCAGCCAAGTATAGATATTGAATCTAATGATGGATTTCCGGTTTTAAATCTTTCACCTATAAACGTAACATAACCACAACCAAAATGTATTTGTTCGGTTGGTACAAATCAATTGAAACATTCTTTCAACCATTTTATTGATGATGTATTGCGACCAGTACAATCAACAATAAAATCACCATAGATATCTAATAATTGTGAATCAACATGTTGTTTTAACCGATATTTTACACCTTGAACAGCATTGACTGATTGATCAACAACTAGTTGAATTGCTCTGGCATTAGATATCCATTCAACTTGATTTCCATATTTCAAACACAATTCTTTTCTCAAAGCTATTTCTAATGTAAAACGATCAATACCCAACCATCCCATATCTTCAGTCAAATTTTGATTTAATAAATTACCATTAACAACAATTCTTGCTTCATTTTTTAATGAATATAGACGAATATCATATTCATTTACTAATTTATCTTTTAAATAAGGAAATAATTCATGCAATATATTAAACCCTTCACCTTCGAGTATATGTATTTGATATATTTGACTAACACCTGAACGTCCTATTGATGTTGGACTTTCAAGGCGACAACGATAATCTAATATTTCAGTTGGTGTAGATTTGTTGAAAGTATCACTTAATACATCATCTGATTCGATAATTGTTATTCTTTTGAAATGTTTTGATAAATAAACAGCAGTGATCATTCCTTCAAAACTACCTCCGATAATAATAGCATGATCGTATTCAGGAATATTTGGAGCGCATTGAACTTGGTTTCTATATTTCTTGCAAACAACATACCAAATTATTATCAAAATGATCGATATTATGAGACAAACCATGATGTGATTGTCCAGTAATAAATTTACAATAAAACTGCTTATATCAATAGACATAATATGATTACCAAAAGCAACGAAATAATGTTTAAAAATGATTTTTGAGTATCAATTCGCGATGATATATGTATTGTTTTTTTCATGATGCAAATAAACTACAGAGAGAAAATAATGTGGGCACTCGTATATTTCATATATGCATATATAATGAATTTATTTGAGTAACAGAAAAAAAAATCAGTCAAATGTGACTTATTTATCTTTTGTTTAACGACTAAATATATATGTATTAGGAACTATAATTACATTAGTTTCACTGGTTGATCATTCTCATGACGCATGCGTCATCAAGTGCGAAAAAAACAAAACTAGTCTTGCTCACATACATGCATTATCCTGATCTAGAATATATTTTCTGTTTGGTAGCTGTGCATTGCACTTTCTTCTTCATAAACAAGTTTCTATTGTTGATGATTGATTGCATATCTGTCAGAGAATAATCTTTACAGAACTTTCCAAAACAACTTCAAAGCAAGTGAAACCATTGACAGTGATTTAAGTAGCGCTGCGTGTTTTGCTTATCCAGTTTTACCATTTTCACGATAATAAACCAATATATTTCCATCTTTGAGATTGTTAATTTCTAAGATTTATAGTCGATTCGACATGCAACAAAATCATTATACAGTAGGGTGTGGGTGTGGGCGAACAGGTAACCCAAGCCGACATCCCACATCCACACTATACCTAATGTTGTAAGAAAAAAAAATTAAATTTACAATACAGATTTTTATGCAGATAATATCAGAACAAAATTAAATTGGCAATGAAGGAAAATAACGATAAAGATTTTTCGGATAGACTATTGAATATTGAACAATTAATTGTTTCACTCGAACACAATTATGTCGCGTTTCATCTCTTATAAAGTTTTCTGTCATCATTTTCAAATTGTAATAATCGATTTTTAATTCAGTTAAACGAGGTAGAGGTGTTTTTGTTTCGTTAAGAGAATCGTTCAACATAACGAATATCTGCATCCTTGATGTCAAGTGAAATAAGATAAGGATATTCAACAATTAAACACCAGTCTTTATCAAGAAGATGAATTTTTAAGAAATGAAAAATTCATGTTCGAATAGAACTTTATCCCATAACTTCAAATGAACAACAGAATTAAATACAATATTTGGAATATTATTTGTAATGTGTTCGAGACGATAAAATTTAAATGGAAGTGAAAAAACGCGACATATCATATTGAGAGGGTCAAAATAATCTACTATACAAACTATCTGTTAATGTTCTATATTTGTGAAAATTCGTTAAATATCTGAATTAGATATACGAATAGCTGGATCGGCAATGACATTTTCAGAAGCGATATAAAATGTGAATGTATGAAGCCGTGGCATATGAATAAGAATTTCATTATCAATCTGATTGCCACCGATGAATATGGGTCCACCCAAGTTATGGATATATAAAGTTAATTCTTCGAGATGGACCATTCAACGAAAAAGTGATGCAACTAAAATGTTACATCCTCGAGTAAGACTATAACATATTAATGAGAAAAATTTTAATTTAGGTAGATTATCCTGAAAAATAGAAAAAAATATTTATAAATTTATCTGTATCAGTGTAGCTAACAAATAAAATCACATGAACTATTAATCAATAGATATAATTCATTTTTCGAAATTCTGTTCTTAGATGTTTTTTGTATTCTATGAAATATTTATAATCATTAGTAATAATGATTATTTTGTATTTATTAAATTCTGACAAATAGGGAGTGTGTGGTGAATAATTCAACAAAAAGCATTCGATAAAAATTCATTATATAGATATTACAAGAAAAATTATTAGTAAAGAAAATTAATTGTTCTTTTAAATAAGTGTGCTCATTTGAATAGTATAAACGAATGAAGTTTTAAAAAACTCGATTGATTAAAATATTTATTTTGCAAGCAATTATATATTTAATTTTTTTTTTAAATAGATAAATAATTTCACCATATTTAATAGGAAAGATATAAAACACAAAAAGATATTTTTCTTGAAAATCATTTAATAAGTACAATGGTTGATTAACTATTTTCATATGAATGAAGATTAATTATGACTTAACCTCGAATAACGTCAAAATAGCTATATACAATCTATTACTAATGATTTTCTAATAATCAAAGTAAAAACATCATATTTACTAATGCAGAAATCTCATTGTTTATTGTACTTGTAATTAATTTGATTTTATCTTCAATATTAAATACTAATTAGAAAACGATAACAATACTTTGTATTAACTCACCATGTTGTAAGATGTAAATGTCGAAGAGGAAAAGTCATTGATGGTAAATAGTATAATGATAAAAGTGGATAATTGTTGATAGACGGTAGCACAATAGTCAAATGCTTTAGATTTTTAAAGAAAGCAAAGATAATTGCATAAATATTCTTAGTATACTCTTCTTGTGTTATTTCAATATTGTTTTCATTACTGATAAGAATGAGAGATCTGTAATTTCTTGTTTACAAATACATCGAAAGGGAGACTCGTCTAAACGAAATACATATCCTTAAGTCTTCTCATCTCAATATGTTTGTATGTTAATCTTTTCAAATGTCTGTACACATGAATTCCTTACCCATACAATAGCATGAAACAATTGCTTTGTTCAATTAAAAATTATAAGTTCAATAAGATTGGGATAGGTACCAGCACGACGAATACATTCTATAGAAACATATTCAAGAATGAGAAATTTGACATTTTTATGAATTCTTGGTAATATATCAACACAAAATAGATTTAGTATTGAGTCAGAAATTGAACACATCTCGTCAGTTGATTGTAATATAGAAACAAAATTAAGTATGTTACTGAAGATTTGTTTCTGCTCTATAATGTCAAGCTGTTTCAAAATGAGAAATCATTTTTCATTGGGCAGATCAAGAAGATCAACATTATGCTGATTCATTTTAAAATATGGTTGTAATACTTTTCATAACACGATATATATGCACTTATCTATTAATTCGTTGTTTGTAAGCACTTTCTCCCATTGAAGAAAAAAAAAGGTTGACCTTGTTGAACAAAAAAAATATAACATTGACATATAGGCCCCAAATAGACTAGAACAATTAAAAGCGAATAAAGAAATTTCTGTTTTTTTGAGTATGTTTAATTTATCGTTACGTCCTAGGACGTAAGGGAACAGAAAAAGAAACAAGAACGCAGAAATCCGACGAGCAGAGTGTAAGTACAGGGATTGGTTTATCAAAGAGGTATTGGAAAACTCGTACTGTCTACTTTCTTTGTCTGTGATTACTCTCTATAAAATTTATCCACTGGATTAAATATAATTCATGATTTTCAATCAGTCATTTTACTCTTATCAGTTGGAAGAAATGGCCAATACTTAACTTCCTTGTCTTTATTTGAGTGTGAATCTCTATATGAGTCGGTGTGGGTACGATTGGTTCGGGTAGGTGTAAGTGTTCATAGATAAAGCAAACACCCACACCCTTACCTTTGCTTACTTCTCAGTAGTGAACGACAGTCCAATTTGATTGTAGTGATCGTTACTCGTCATTTAAAATAATTTAATGAATCGAATTGATCAAGATAGACATTATACAAATCTTCATTTTCTATTTAACAAAAGTGTCATAACAATGAAATTTTCATGAGAATGCTCTAAAAAAGATCTAGATGTGCGCTTGTCTTTTCTTCTGGCATATATTCTAGATTACCGATATGTCTTAATCATCGTAAAAAAAACTGTTCTTATATTCGAACCCTGTATCATGTAACGTTTCATCTCCTTTCTATGATCGATTAAATTCATTGTTATTCTTCAGACGACTTTTGAATCAATAATAAAATACAGAAAGAAAATAAATAAATACTAGAACGAAAGAGAAGAATTGAAAAGTTACACAAAAAAAGAAATAACAATGAGATAGTACGCGAACGCGAGCATAGAAACGATGAATTTAATTCACACATAGGTCTTTTTACATCTAGGTCAATGCTTCCAATCGGCCAGAGACACGAACGAAAGAAAATTTTGTATTTTTTTGTATTCGAAAGAATGGAATTAATTGAGATTGATCGAATAAAAAAACCTCTGAACAAAGAATTTGTTGATTTCGGTCGGAGGAAGCAGAATACCAAAAGTATTTTTGAAAAGAGAAACTAGATCAATTTGTTTCACTTAATATCTTAATCTGTGAAAACCAGAACAAAACAATTTTGTTCATCTTTTCATGATATAGACATCGTTTAAATTGACATGGAGATTTCTCAGTATTTTTCACATGATTTCTCCTTTTTCAACGTTTAAGAATATATAATGATAACGAAATTTTCATAATAATAGACAAGTCCGAAGTAGCCATCACTCATAATTATAGCAATTCATTGCAATGTCACGGAGAGTATAGCTTCCCACGTCACATTAGTAGGAAATCAAAAAGAATTGAACTATTCATTTTCTTTCGCCAAGTGGTGCACTTTCGCTAAAATTTTGACGTCTTTTGTGATTCATATTTGTCACAATCGAAAGAAATAGAGATGAGATGCAATTAAGATTTTATTAGAATATTTCAAAAAATATATATTCCTGACTAATCTTCTATTTTCTATATGCAGTTATTCACTTTCTAGTGACTCTCCAATCATATAAACAATAGTGAAAATAACCTTAAAAACAAAGATTGACAAGGATATTTTTCGAAAAAAAAAACAATAAGCGCGCTACACATCACTTATTGCATGACGTATTGATTAGAATAAGAAAACATTGTAGGCATGAAGGGAGAAAGATAGGTTCCTCACGAGTGATATATAAAAGGTGGTTGCTATTGCTGTTCTGTATATTTTTACTGTTTTTTACACTTTCTTTCAACAAAAAGATATGCGAGCTTTGATTTCTTTATATGTGGATAATTGGCGCCTCTCTCGAATGTACTTCTTCTCAGAAGAACGTATCTATGCTCGATGTATGCTTCTAGTTTTGATCATTATGGAATTGTTTAGTATCGGTGTGAATGTATTATTAACGTATTGGAACAAAGATTTTATCGATACATTTCAAAGATACGATCGACCAGCCTTTCTTCGTTCACTCTTATATTTTACTTTCATTGCTATCACAATCATAATCGTATCAGTTTACAAAGATTATCTAACACAATTATTTCTTCTTCGATGGCGACGTTGGTTAACAAACGATTTTCTTAGCAAATATTTATCTAAACATGCTTATTATCATATGTCGTTGTTAAAAAATGATCGTCCAACAATAAATGATACAAATGATAATCCAGATCAAAGAATATCAATGGATATTAATTCATATACTGAAAATATCTATACTTTAGCAATAGGTCTCTTAAATGCATTTGTGTCATTAGTATCCTATGTCATCGTACTCTGGTCTCTATCTGGTATGATCAGAATAAAAATTACTCCAAATTTTTCGTTTGAAATCAAAGGACTTATGGTTTGGTCTGCTCTTATCTATGCTGGATTAGGTAAGAAGCAAGTTTCTCTTCTAAAACACGTTCTCTTATTCAGTTTTTCATGAAACATACGGTTACCCAAAGCGAAGGACGTTTAAGATTGGTCATCACAATGTCTGATAAATGTCGTGAGAGTGTTCTTAACAGAATTAGACTGCTTTTCTTTATCAAACTCTTGATTCAAACCTAATAATAGATTTAAAAACAAAAATTCTATGAATACTCAAAATATGCCTCAGCTAGCTCAAGTAACTTATGCAGGCTAACTTTCTAAAAAGTCCTTGACTACGACATAAGTCAAATGACTGTTTTCAAGCAGAAAAAATCAGGATAGAAGAGTGTGCACACCTAGTCGAGTCAAGAGAAGCTCCGCCTACACCTACGCTCCAGACTCGACATTCATGGTGATCTAATGGATAGCACAACTATCTGTTTAAAAAAAAATGTAGTGAATAGTTAACTTTGAAAATTTCTGCACTTGTTTCTTAAAACTTGATTTCATCATTTCAAAAAGCTTCTCTTTTTTAACATTCATCACAAACTGAATCGTTTTCAAGCAATAAAATTGCTGCAAAATTCTTATTAAGTAAACATGAAGCCAATTTTCATATATAGACGATTCCAGAAGACAGCAAAATGTGTAGACATTTTCATTTTGGTCACATTGAACACATGCATGTGTCTATTGCTATGATGAGTATTATGTAGTAGAAAAAATATTAAAAAGCTTCTTTGTTCAATGTTACATCATTATGTTTGAAAGTCTTTAAGAGGGAAGAAGAATTTTTCAAATGTAAATCATTCATTCTTTTTTTATTCGCAACATATTGCTCAAGTTTCCTAAGGTTTTATGAAACGTTCTTGAATTTTGACTTTTTCATGTAGAGTTCAGTGAATTTTGAAGTGTTATAATTTTGAAACGTCTACGTTTTTTTCTTGGAGTAAGATCTTATATATCAAGATAAAAGTTGGATGTTTTATTAAGGTACTGTGATTACTAATTTAATTGGTCGAGCTCTCTTTCATTTGAAATATGTACAAGAACATTGTGAAGCTAATTTTCGATATGGACTTGTTCGTCTTCGGGATCATACAGAATCAGTCGCTTTCTATCGAAGTGAATTAAATGAACAGGCATCATTAACATCATTCTATCTCGAAATAATATCTAATTTACGTCAAATTATTCGTCGCAAATTTATTCTCAATTGGTTTAATTCATTCTACACAACGGTAGCAATTATCTTTCCATTTCTCGTTGCTTCTCCACGATATTTTTTACGCGAAGTTACACTTGGTAATTTATTACAAATAGCTAGTGCCTTCGAAAGTGTACATCAATCACTTTCATTTATACCCAATTCCTATGGAATTATTGTACAATGGCGATCAGCTACGAAACGATTGACTGAATTTCAATATGTTTTAAATGAATTACATAAAGCTAAGCAAAATTCTGAAATTCAATTTCTCTATTTACCAAACGAACGATTTATGAGAATTCAAGAATTAAATGTTCGATTGCCATTGAAAATCGGTGAAGATAATAGTCGAATTTTTATCAATCGTCTCAATTTAGTACTCGAAGCTCATCATGCNCTTGCATATATTAATATAATATTTTTTTATACAAGAAAATAATGTGCTGCTACTACTTATACCATGAATTTTTTTTCTAATAAAAAAAGTCGTTCAAATAAAAAGGGTAAAATTAATTAGCTGGTGGTTTCATGTTATAAATCACCTACTTAATAATAATTAACTGGAGCAAGAAGATGATCGACAAAATAAAATTAATTGAATGGTGATTGAAGCAGAGGAAATGGAGATTTAATTTCTTTCAATTGAATAACAATTACACCATTATTAGAGTCCATTTGACTGATTACTCGCATTCGAGTAGCTGGTAAAAGAAGAATTTCATCTTCTGTTTTGTAATACGAATGGGCACAGATAGACTTGCCAGTTTCACATTCGATACGAAATAATGTTCTTACGCCTGTCGTGCTCAGCAATTTCTCTTGTTCAAGAAATTTACGTAATCTAGTGCAGGAACTAAACAAAGTAAAAGTAAAATCGACAGAAAACATAATGATAATAGAACTAACCTGAATCCCCACCAGATAAACTCCTTGCCAATTGGATATTGAGCACTTAAATCACCTTTCACACCACCCCATACTGTTGTTTTTATTGATGGAAGTTTCCACAGAGCTGTTAGAACAAGTTTTAGGTAGGAGAGAAATGGAGTAAGTTTATCTCGATTTGCTTCTCGTAGAGCAGTATTAATATGAATATAGAATGATTGATTATCTGGTTTCCATTCCATTGTGTACAATTGAATAGCAGCTGATTCATCTTGAGTAAGTTCATCAGTAACAACAATGGATCTTTCTTTCGCAATCCATGCATTTCGTCTTATATTCGAAATTATATTCTCCAAGTGTTCGACAGTATTTTCCAAGGGTAGAAGAGGCATGTCTTCATAACCTTCGATTCTAAAGATAAAATGTGACGAATAGTATTTCTTATAGATAATAAATGGAAAATTACGGTAAGAGCATATCTTGATGTTCATTTCGAATATCAAGAAAACGTGAATTCAGTTTGGATATTTCAGTATTGTTGTTTGATGTAGCATTAACAGGAGGAATAACCTTGTCTTCTGAAATGAAACAGATGCTTAAAGAATTGTTATCTGTATCCTATATATTTCAGCTATCCTTTAGTATTACTCTTATACCATTCATATTGCAAAGGATTTCCTAGAAATATTTGAATCATGAAAATAGATCGTTATAAAATAATTTGATGTAATAGCAATTTCTGAAAACTTATATCCTTCAGGCTCACTTCGATTTCCACGTGTTGCTATTAGTCAAAAAATAGAATCAGAAGGATATTAAGGAGAGATAGAAATCGCGAATGAATTCTAAAAGAAAGAAATCGATCGAGCGAGACGAGGAATAAAGAAACTTGAATAAGCACAAAGATTCATTGCTGTTATTTTATAGCTATTATAGTTGAATTTTTAAGATTGAATATTTTCGAAATATATTTTAGTGTCTATTAAAACCAAAATCGTTAGCATAAGTATGAACAATAACACGATGATATTCGAGCTTTTTGCTCGATTGCGAAATGCAGCGCGAAGCTTTGAACATCGATTTTCAGAAGAATGAAAATGTTATAAAAAGTCGATAGTTGCTTTTACGATCAAATGCTATGTTTCGTATCACATTAATTATTGTTTACTCACTTGTTTGATCGTCAGAAAATCCTTCTGACATTTTCTTAGCATCATTTTCATCTGAATAAGGTTTCATCATTATTGATGAACATAATTTTTCAACTTCTTTTAACTTCTTTTCAATTTCTTCTTGTTCAGCAAACTAAAAGCAAAAAAATAATATTAGAAATGTAATGATCATAACGATTTTCTCACTTGATTTGTTTCTAACCATATCAATGTATTTTCAAGAGCATCGATCATTTTCTTTTTATCATAAACATTAATTTTATCTTTCAATTTTTCATCATTAATTGTGGTCTTCATGTTAAAACAATATAATTCTAATGAATTTACAACTTTAATACGATTACGTTGTATCTCATCTTCGTTTTTATATTTTTCAGCATCAGCAACCATACGTTCAATTTCATCTCTAGATAAACGCTCTTTTTCGATGGTGATTGTAATTTTATTAGATTTTCCAGAAGTTTTATCATCAGCTGAAACATATAAACTACTATTTGCATCAATTTCAAATGTAACTTCAATTTCTGATCCGTCATCCGAATTTGAAGAAATGTCAGCGAGTTCAAAACTATCAAGTAAATGATTATCTTTCGTCATTGAACGGTCACCTTCGAATACGTTAATAATAATTCCTGATTGATTTTTCGGAAATGATGTTAATGGGAATGTTTGCGTTTGTTTTGTTGGAATTGTTGTATTACGTTTAATAATTGCTGTCATAAGATCATCAACAGTTTCAATACCCTTAAAAGAGAAAAAAAATCTGATAGAAGACTTCTTTTTTTTTTAATTTTACTTGCCAATGAATGTGGTAAAACGTTCATTAGTAATAAAT